CCCTGATCAATTATATTGTTTCAAATAAATAAATCATTGTGAAAAAATAAATTAAAAAAAAAAAAAGTTCCTGAAAATAAAGACAGTTTACATACCATCAAGAGTCTGCCCATTATATTTTCTAAGTGCTGCTTCAGCATCCTTTGGATCCTCAAACGTAACTTCTGCGTTACCTGTACTTCGTCCAGCACGATCATAATGCAAAATAACTTTCTTAACAGGACCACATTCAGAAAACAGTTCCTATTCAAATCACATCTCAATTAATTAATTTCTCATACTGGAATATAAATTGCATTTACACAACACTGAATACCAACTTCAAGGTCATCTTCAGTCACTTCATAAAATAAGTTTTCAACGGTCAATTTTGCATTACTGTTTGAATTTAATGTTCGACGAACGTTCTGGCGACCCTCTTTAAACCGAGAATCCTCGAAAAGATCATGGGACCATTGCTCATCAATATTACCTTTCGGGGGACGCTATATGTAGATCAATAAAGTATTTAGTACCAAATAAATTCCGACTTTTGCACCCCTTCTTTTGTAGACAAACTAGATTATATCGTCCGTCGACAAAAGGAATGGGTGGAGATTCTGATCTAAGTCAGCTAAAAAAAGAATATAGAAAGATCTTTATCACCTGCCGTTCGTAAGGTGCATTTCGAAGGTTCCTGCTACTAAAAGTAGTTCCCATTCGTGCAGTCGTAACGCGCCCTCCCCTGCGAGATGCTTTGGGATTTCTTTTCTTTCCCTTCTTACTTGTCTTGACATACTCATCAAGAGCCATATCTAAAGTACCGTTCATTTAGTAACAGATTTAGTTTGGATGAGAAAATTGATAACTCAAACAGGAGACATCTTGTACGTAGTGCTATTTATTTATTATATATACGCTAAACCCTTCCGATTAAGTCCGGATGATCTAATTTAGTCTCGTGACCATGACGATTATTAATTGGATCTTTTTATTTTTTACTCTCAGTGTAATAAGTTTTTTCCTTTGTTTAAAACTATATAACACAAACGACACAGCACTTTAGGCAAACAGAGCTTTGACCCCAATACTTTACCATCTCAAACTTGTTGATTCATAAATTCTATTTCTAGTTTTCGAAACCATCTTTCAAAGTTTTCATCATGTCCGCTGCAGGCCTTGATATGTCACTTGATGAAATCATTGCAAAAAAAAAACCTTCAAGAGGAAATAGGAGTGGAGGCCCTACCCGTGGTGGTGGCATTGCAAAACGTTCAGGTGGACCAGTTAGAAACACTCGATCTTCACTGGCTAGATCTCGCCCTTACGCCGCAACCTCTACAGCAACAAACATCTCCGCTTCTCCCGAAGGAAAAATCCTTGTTTCAAACCTCGCTTACAAGGTGTCAGAGGCAGATCTTTGGGTAACTATTTAAAAATGTCAAGCCATTATCGGTTGTGCTACAGACAGACACAAAAAAGAGACGAAAGAGTTTCTTTCTTTGGTGACAAAGCTGGGGTTTACCTTCTTAACATAAACCTGATGCGAAAAAGAGACCTTTGTACGAAAATTTTTATCGTCAACGGCCCTTCTTCGCCTTGTTGCTTTGGTACCTGGAGAATCAGAAATCTTTTCTACAACGTTTTCCAATCCGAACAACCTTATTGCTCCTTCTGAAAACAAACCACCTGACCGCTATCAAACCCTCCTCCACACCCGCACTTCGACACCCCTAATCCCTTTACAACATCAGGAACTCTTCCAGACTATGATCGGTCCCGTACGCCAGGTTAACCTTAACTTTGACCAAAGTGGACGTTCGAAGGGTACGGCATCCGTTGTTTTTGCGCGAAAAAACGATGCAAGTGGGTCGAATGAAGGGCTCCTGTACATCACCCTTGATGGTTAGTCTTATTTATAAATTACATTAATGCTTTTAGTACAATTCTACAAAACAACATTTTATAATATTATTTCTTGTTTATGTAGGTCGTGAATTGAAAATTGAATTTGTTGTCGCCCCCAATGCAAACCCTATCAGCCAGCGTATCGGTGGTATCAATGAGTAAGTTTCATGTAAAAATTCAAAAATTTAAATTCGTAAACTTTTTTTTCTGAAACTTCCTATTATACATAGAACTCGTTCCTCCGCACGTGGCTCAAATTCTACGCGCGGCTCAACACGTGCCCGCGGCGGCAGAGGTGGATCTCGCAGAGCAGATAACAGACCGAAAAAAACCCAAGAGGAATTGGATGCTGAAATGAGTGAATATATGCAGATTGATGAAGTATGTATTTCACTCTTCCAATTTTTTTGATCTTTTATTTCGTATATTGTTATTAACATTTTTTTCTGGTTATTATATAGGATTCATCTCAGGCAGCTGATTCTGCTACAGCTCCGTTGGCCCAATAATCTATAACATATACATACAAATTTTCAGATGTCAACTCATCCGCGTGTCTACAATCATGTGACTTCTATATCCATAATACGCTAATAAGTAGAACCGCGTGGTTGGACTGCCCTTGCAAAAAAGGACGTGAGATTTTGCGTAAAATATAATGATTTACTTTGTTTTAACAAAATGTATAACATTTATTGGCTGAAGAAAATATATGACAATTTATCTAATAAAATTATGTTTATGTTTATATCATTAAGGCATAATAAAATGCTTTTATAATACAGTATTTAACGTTCATTATCACTTTGTCAATTTTTTATCATGATCAAAAAACTTTATGGCATGAAACATAATAGGTAATCCAACATATTCTACCACAATTATGTTCAATTTAGACAGTTAATATATTAATCTAGTACTATCCCTTATTAAGATATAAAACAATAAAACTTAATAAAACTTATTAGAGTTATCTAGTCGCTTTTTGTAGTCACAGTATCAGTTACATATTACAAGTCACTCTCGTTATAGTGAAGTGATCCGTTCCATTAATAAAAATTTTTTAAAAATTCATTATAACGAGAGATTTATTAGTAAATTCACTATATCGAGAGAATTT